GCTGTCCCCATTGATGTCCCCCCTGTCCCCACATTGTCCCCATTGCTGTCCCCACATTGTCCCCAAATGTCCCCAAATGTCCCCAGTGTCCCCAATGTCCCCAATGTCCCCAATGTCCCCAATGTCCCATTAATGTCCCCATTGCTGTCCCCACTGTCCCCAATGTCCCCATTGCTGTCCCCACTGTCCCCATTGTCCCCATTGCTGTCCCCATTGCTGTCCCCACATGCAGTTCCCACTGTCCCCATTGTCCCCAATGTCCCATTAATGTCCCCAATGTCCCCACATTGTCCCCATTGTCCCCACATGCAGTTCCCATTGTCCCCAATGTCCCCACATTGTCCCCATTGTCCCCACATGCAGTTCCCAATGTCCCCAGTGTCCCCATTGTCCCCATTGCTGTCCCCATTGTCCCCACATTGTCCCCATTGTCCCCATTGTCCCCACATGCAGTTCCCATTGTCCCCATTGCTGTCCCCATTGCTGTCCCCATTGTCCCCACAGTGTCCCCACTGTCCCCACATGCAGTTCCTGGCCGCCAGGTCTCTGTGCACGAAGTTCCTCTGGCTCAGGTAACTCATCCCGGCCGCGATGTCAGCCATGAACCCCAGCAGGGAGCGCAGCGACAGCGCCTGCGGGGACAGCCACACTTGGGGACACTCGGGGACACTCAGGGGACGGTCCCCAAATCGCAGAAATTATCCCCAAAAAAATCCCACAAAAAATCCCACAAAAAGTCCCCCGGGAATGCCCCAAACCCAGCAGGGAAGGCAGGGACACTCGGGGACACTCGGGAAGACTCGTGAACACTCGGAGACACTCGGGAACACTCGGGGGATACTCGGGGGACACTCGGGAACACTCGGGGGATACTCGGGGACACTCGGGAACACTCGGAGACACTCGGGGGACACTCGGGGGACACTCAGGGGACACTCGGGGACTGTCCCCAAATCACAGAAATTATCCCAAAAAAATCCCACAAAAAATCCCACAAAAAATACCCAAAAAAATCCCACAAAAAATCCCCCGGGAATGCCCCAAACCCAGCAGGGAAGGCAGGGACACTCGGGGGACACTCGGGGACACTCGGGAACACTCGGGGGACACTCGGGGGACACTCGGGGGACACTCGGGAAGACTCGGGGACACTCGGGAGACACTCGGGGACACTCGGGGGGACACTCGGGAACACTCGGGAGACACTCGGGAACACTCGGGGACACTCGGGGGACGCTCGGGGACACTCGGGAACACTCGGGGACACTCGGGAACACTCGGGGACACTCGGGGGACACTCGGGAACACTCCTGGACACTCGGGAACACTCGGGAATACTCGGGGACACTCGGGAACACTCGGGAACACTGGGGGACACTCGGGAATACTCGGGGACACTCGGGGAACACTCGGGGGACACTCGGGAACACTCGGGGACACTCGGGGGATACTCGGGAACACTCGGGGACACTCGGGGACACTCGGGGACTGTCCCCAAATAAAAAAAAAATCCCCTAAAAAATCTCACCAAAAAAAATGAAATTATGGGGATTTTGTGGGATTTTTGTGGGAATTTAATGGGGATTTTATGGGAATTTTATGGGATTTTTTTTTATTTTTGGGGGGGGATTTTTATGGGATTTTATGGGGATTTTTATGGGATTTTACGGGGATTTTTGTGGAATTTTATGGGAATTTAATGGGGATTTTTATGGGATTTTACGGGGATTTTTGTGGAATTTTATGGGAATTTAACGGGGATTTTATACGGATTTATACGGGAATTTTTGTGGGATTTTTATGGGAATTTTGGTGGGATTTTTATGGGGATTTTGTGGGATTTTGTGGAATTTTTCTGGGATTTTTCTGGGATTTTTTTTTTTTTATTTGATGGGGATTTTTGGGTTTATTTTTATGGAGATTTTTGTAGGATTTTTATGGGATTTTTTTTTAATTTTTCGGGGAATTTTTGGGGGGATTTTTATGGGATTTCGAGGAATTTTTATGGAGGATTTAGAGGAGATTTTGGGGGGATTTTTATGAAGATTTTAATGGGATTTTTTAGGATTTTTCCGGGATTTTTCTGGGGCTTTTGGGATTTTTCTGCGGATTTTTTTGGAGGGATTTTATGGGGGATTTTTGTGGATTTTTGTGGGATTTTTATGGGGATTTTCATGGGATTTTTATAGGGATTTTATGGGAATTTTTTTTTATTTTTATGGGATTTATTTTATTTGGGTGGGGATTTTTTGGGGGGATTTTTGGAGTTATTTGGGGGATTTTTATGGAGATTTTAATGAGATTTTTGGGGGATTTTAATGGGATTTTAATGGGATTTTAATGGGATTTTGGGGGATTTTAATGGGATTTTTATGGGATTTTATGGGATTTTTTTTTATTTTTATGGGATTTTTTTTTATTTTGTTG